CCGCTACTGAATCAGCGACTGTAAGTATGTTTTGTTATTAGTTTAAGTATTTGCGATTGAGTGTTCAAATGCGCAGAGTAAAGCGTTTTGTGTGTGTGTGTGTGTGAGGGGAACAGGGGTAACATCACAGAAGAGTGAAATGCCTGTCAGAAATCATAGCATGTCAGCTGTCTTAACTGCGGCTTGTGTACTGCATCATCACTGTGTCTGTCACACGACTCTGTTGCCCTTTCGGGCTTGAACTGATGGTAAAACTAACGACATTATTAACTGTCTTGATATTTACTTTGAAAGCTTGAAGCTCGCAATTATGGTAAGGGACGTTACATTTCCGACGCGTGCTTGTGGTGTTCGGCCAATCACAATGCACTGGGTCAGCTGGCCAATCAGAGCAGGCTGCGCTTGTCAAAGGAGGAGGCTTTGTTGAAAACTACGTGTTTGAGAGAGGCGGGGCATAGAGGACCTACAATAATTAATTTGAAATAGCATCATATGACCCCTTTAACATTTAGTGCAGTTTGATATATTTTTTGAACTGATTCATCAAATCATCTTATTTGCATAATTGGCCAGCACTCCTAGACTTCATTCCACCCACATATATGTTGGCAAGACACAGTAGAAATGCAGCAAGCAGCATTAAATAGCAAAGCACTAAATATGTCTTCTTGTTTGTTCGTCTTTACTGGCCTGACAGCAGCATTAGAAAACAAGCTGAAAAATAATAATACAGTAATTCTTACTTTATCTGGCAAAAGATTTTGACCAGAAAAAAACAAGAGTGAGCCGAGCCCCATTTTTCATACATGGATCATTGAGGTAGCTGCATTTTATTTGACAATTTGATCCTATATTGTTCCATTCTTCAAAGCTTAATTCGGTTTCCACATCTGAATGCTCAGATCTGCCCAGAATCAGGTTTATTAAACAGAATTCAAATGTGGCTTTATAAGTGCAAATGCTCGAGTTGTTCTTATGAGAGCACCTTGTTGAGCAGGCAAAATAAAAGCCAACATTCAGCATTGGCCAACATTTTACTAAAAGACAAAGTTGTGCCACTTTAGTCTTGAGGGAATACTTCACCTCAAACATTTGTTGGAGCCGCACATACACAACTTACAGTGGCCAAGTGGCACTTTCTACAGCGCAGGAGATGCAGAGTAAACATGGTAAATAGTGCTGTCTGCAGGCCCTTGAGAAATGATGCTCTACGCTGGTGATTATTTTTGCTCTTTCACGGTTCAGAAATTCTTTAGAGCCTTTTAAAACTAAAAATACCCTTTTTCTGCTAGTATGATGAATTGGTCTCTTATTTATATATTAAACATTTATATATTAATATAATACAATTCTAATATATATTAAAGAAATAAAAAATAAAGGTAAATAAAATTATTACATTTTTTATTTAATTTCTATCAATTATGGTATAGTTCACTACATAATTTCAATAATTCTCTAACTGTGATCTTTTATAGTTTTGATAACTTAAATAAAGAATAATAAAGAATGCGCTCTTTCCCATCAACACAGGAATGAACAATTATTTCAACAACTCAATCTATTTATTCCAATCAAATTCGCAAATGTTTTTGAAGAACCAAATTAAAGGGACAGTTCATCTAAAAATGAAAATGATTTACTTGTATGAATTTCTTACTTCTGATCAGCACAAAAGAAGATATTCTGAAGACTGTTAACCAAACAGTTAGCTACTGACTTCCATAGTATGGCAAAACATACTATGGAAGTCAATGGCTACCGTCAATCGTTTGGTTACCAACATTCTTCAAAATATTATCTTTTGTGCTCAACAGAAGGAAGAAATTCATACAAGTTTGGAACAACATGAGGGTGAGTAAATAATAAATTTTGGGTGAACTATCCCTTTAAGATAGCTAGTAATTCATCACAACTAGAATATCTTTCATTATGTTAGATCATTTTTGTTAAGCGAATGCACAAATAATGGGGCATTGATTAAATTTGGTCTAAACACCAACAATGAACACGTAGGTGACTACAAGGTTCCCAAGAGCACAAAAGCAGTTGTTAAAGCAAATACTCAGCCCTACCAATAAAGCAGAGCCCAGTTTGCAAACAAGGGTCAAAAAGTAAACACCCATTGACAGAATGCAAGGCAGATGAAATGAGCAGAGAGATAAACAGAGTCAGAACCTTTAAGAGACACTGGGCTGCAGGTTTTGGTTTCATTGCTTTCTTTGTTCCTCGACTCTTCTGAGAAAGAGACGCTCAATGACCTGCTGCAACCCAACGCCTTTTTCTGGCACCTGATCCTGACCACTGATCAGAAAGAGGGACGACAGGGTGGGAATGGAGTGATGGAGGGACAGGAGAAGGAGATGGAGAATGAATGAGGGGTTTATGCTCCATCAAATGCTCTATCTGCCATATGCCTTGTGCTTTATATATATATATTTTTTTTTATTTTACCTTATTTGTATATTTGTATAGTTGTATTTTGTATTTAATCTGTATCTATCTGTATTCATGTTCTACTGTAGTGTTATCTGTATGCACCAAGGGTCTGAGAGTAACGCAATTTCAATTCTCTGTGTGTATGTGCTGTACATGTGGAAGAATTGACAAAGCAGACTTGACTTGACTTAGAGAGAGTGAATGTGGGGAAAAATGGAAGGAAAGGCAGATTCCTTACCACTGTTTAGTGATGTCGAACATCATGATCACGCCGTTACAGTTCTTATAAACATCCAGGAACTCTGCGTCGAGAGCCATCTCGGTTTCCGACTGCACAGAGAGCAAAACAACGCCAAGATTACAAAAATTACATTTCGTTTCCAGCTGAATGAACAACATTAAAGTCAGCTTGCAAGCAGCTGACAGATAACATAATGAGATATTTGAAGATGCCAAATGATTATTACTAAATCAAATGCCAAAACCAAACTTTGAAGTATTAATTACATGGTAATTGCCAAGTAGACTTACACTACAAATCAAAAGTTTGTGGTCAGTAAGTTTTTTCTTTTTTTAAATTAACTTATTCAGAAAGAATTCTTTTGAACTTTCAATTTTTTTAGCATGCTTTCAAAAAAAATATGAAGTAACACAACTGTTTTCAACATTAATGATTATAAGAAATGTTTCTTGAGCAGCATATCAGCATATTAGAATGATTTCTGAAGATCATGTGACACTGAAGACTGGAGGAATGATGCTGAAAATTCAGCTTTGCATCACTGGAATAAATTACTTTTTAAAATATATATTTACATAGAAAACAGTTACTTTAATTAGTAATAACATTTCACAATATTACTGTTTGTATTACATTTTTTGATGAAATAAATGTAGCCTTGGTGAGCAGAAGAGACTTAGCAACCCCAAACTTTTCAACAGTAGTGTAACTACCCACAAATATTCCTTGTTTAACAAATACCTCCTGAGGTTCATTTTCCAATTTCAGATTCTCTCCGCGTCTCTTCCCTTTCCCTGCAGTAGTTGGAGAAACACGGATATTACAATTAGTGTGGCAGTACTTCAGTGACTGTGAGTCCGAGATACAAGTAGAGTAATATTCATATGCTTACCCATTCAGTACCACCAAAGCAGCCAAACTAAAATTTTGCAGTCCTTTTACAAAGCTTGCCCTGAATTTTTTTCACATTTTAGTGAGACCACTGGAAACCTGAATATCTTAAACAACTAGTTTTTCACAGCAATCCAAAAGTAATATATCACTCTTATTAGTATTAATACTATTATAACATACATTGCCTTTAAGGTATACATGTTATCAGTTCATGCATACCCAGGGAAATGAACCCATGACCTTGGCGTTGCTATCGTCATGCGCTACAGGTTTGACACATGACCTAAACATAGCTCAAATATTATATTTTAAGGAGAACAAATTAAGGTATACATAAACTTGCAGTCTGATGCATTACTTTTGAAATGTTTTGGTAGAAAGACATCTCACACCTTGTTCCCAGATACCACATTATTCACTATAACGTTAATCCATATTATGATAGCATTCAATATCTTATTTCAATATTTACTTGTGTATAAATTAAAAAAGACAAACCTCAACAGCACCAGCTCCTAGTGCAAATATTTTCATGGTAACCACATTTTACTCCTATAGCTACTATAGTTATTGTTACTACCATAAATTCATATTGGATCTCCTTCAGTGTAACATGTCCAATCTTTCTCATATTTGTATTTTTTAAAGATAATGGTGGAAAAAAAAACAACTTTTAACAACACTTATAATATGGCATTTCATTAAAAAAAATATGGTTACCATGGCAAATTTTTGCAGGTAATAACTACCAATTCACAAAGAGTGTAAAAAGAAAACTCAGGTATGTTAAAGAGAAGTATTATTGTTCAATCACAATTTAAACCACAAGCTGAAAAATCAGCAGAATTTCCAATTCATGCATCATTTATGAACATTTAAAAGGGGGCTGTTTGAAATAATGTTTACATTGTGGAAGATCATTCTGATGTCAATTTCAAAAATGAATAAACAAATCCATTATAAATGAAACATATCACACGCCCCCTATTAAAATAAATGTACTGTGGAAAAGAAGTGGCCATCAGATTTGAATGCAAGTCCACACTAGGGTCTAATAATAGCACAGGCTACTGAAGGTAACGTCTATTCTGAGCACGGTTTTAAAGTAAAAGAAGAGAGGTGAAGAGCACACACACACACACATAAACAAACAAACACACACACACAGTTTAATGTTTGACTACTAGATTGCTAGTTCTCACCTACACCTTCTGGAAGAGGAAGCTTTTGCCCTTTTGAGTATTAGCAGACCACAAAAAAAGAAGTAAAATATAACATTGCACTGTTACCTTTAAATATAGCTGAAAACAAACTTTCAGACAAAACATAATTCAGATGACTTAATCTTTCAAGTGATTCTTTCTAATTTTGTTTGGGATCACATACTGAATAGCTGCACTTGCTAACTTGTACTAACTAGTACTAGTATGTGTGTCATTAGTGCTAGAGTGCTTTCTAAAGACTCACCTTTATCTACCACATCCCAGACTTCAACTTTCACTACATCATCTGTTGCTGTGGTGCAAACATAAAAGCAAGAACAGAATACAGTCAGAAATATTGTCAACAGGTTCTGATACTTTACAAAAGATTACCTAGTATATTTCTCGTTTCTGATAGGGTAGTCTATTTATATAAATGACTTTAGGTTACTGGCAAGTTCTTTGAAAATAAACCACTTCCCTTCATAAAAGACCACCTAACCAACAGAGACCCGAAAATGAGTCGCAGGTCTGTTCTGAAAGGGTTGCAGACAGCAGGGTAATGTACTAGACAGAAATCTAATACCAAATTTGGCCCAAATGTGTTTGGCTGGTAAATCACATGTCAGTTATTGTTTATGCTTTTACAAAATTATACATCTTCTTATTTTTCCCAACTTTCCCAATGTTTAAGAACATTTGTTTACATTTTTGGTTCTGTGTTGGTTCACATCTTGATGCACTGAAATAAAAAAAACGAAAATTCAGGATGCACTTGGCCAAAAACCGAAAATAACCCTACTTTCAAATAGTTTTTTTGTATAATTGTATTCATATTATTGCACCAAAATTATAATTTTTTCTTACTGAAATTATTTTTTCCCCATTTAGCTGAAAAACTGAAAATGAAAATATTTAATAATTAATAAAATGTATTTAATAATCAACAAGTTGCGCAAACACATAAAAACTGCCGTATGTGCAATTTAAGTCAAAATTATTTTTCTACTCCACTTTGATGCTGAAATATAAAAATTTACATAGTGGCTGTCATACCGTAACATAATAGATTTATCAAAACATATTAAATAATGAAGACAACTGGTTAAGTAAACATATAATATGCAATATAGCGCATATATTTAGCAAAATGCTCCTCTCTAGAGTTATTTCATTAGTAGTACAGATAGAGATGATCAGTTATTATGCCGCTTGAACTGATACGGATGCATCGATCTGTCGCGCTACATTAAAGAATGTCAAAACAACATTTATTGTTTGCATTTCATGATAACTGACAGATTTTGAAATCTGAGACTTTGTTTTATATTAAAAGTAACAAAGCGCAAAGCAAAAAGAAGTGCTACAATAATGTTTAGTGAAGTTCATGCATCAACCGAATACAGCACTGACTAAAAGACTGATCTTGAGATTTAAGAAGCCATATTAGTATTGATTAAAATCTATATTGTTAATCCAACACAACACATACAGCTGACATGCTTACTTGTAGTTTATCAAGGTTGTGAGCATGAAATAGCCACTGACAAAGTCCATATGCACCATCCGAGTTGAACATCACTGTTTTCCAGCCAATGATTTCGGCCCTCCAAAACTATTTCATGCCAAACTGAAAATTGCTATTTCGACCGCCGAAATTTCAGTGCATGACTAACCTAAACCATGAAGGATGAATTTATACAGTGCATGAGGTACTCAGTAGCAATGCTTCCCTCACCGTTTTGAAGTATCGCATCAGAAACGAGTCATGGAAACACCAAATTTAGGAAATAAATTCCCTTAATTCGCAAAAAAGTTTTTACGCTTGCTTGAGGTGGTTTTAGACTTGTACAAAAAAGGGTTCATGCGAATAATGGGAGATGGAAACGCATTTGCTGAATAAATTTCTCCATGTGCATCAAAAGTCATGTGACTTTGTGATATGGAACGGCACAACCTGGCTTCTCCTACTGATATTTAGTGCCAGTTTATCAGGAAGTGATGATTTTGTTCTCTTTGACTCGTTGGATGGAAACGGTGCTTATTCGCAAATGTTTTCTGCGATATTCCAATTTTATTCCAAAGTTAATTCGCAGCTATTAATACTCACTTTTGTAGTTCCAGTGAATGCTGGCGACCTGGATCTCCTGCGTGGGGATGTACTCTTCCAGAAACTTTTTCCCTTGAAGTCGGTGCCAAAGTGCACTTTTACCTGTGTTTCTGTCCCCACGGATGACTATTTTCACTGAGAGAAACAAGCAGAAACGAGAACATTAATATGATCTAAGGCAGTGTTTCCCAACCTTTTTTTAGTCGCGGCACAAACTTGTGGCACCCTACAAAATTAATTTTTTCACAATATTTGAATTTCTAACTTCGATATGATAATTTGAAAAGTATAGATATTAGGTACAACAGGGAAGAACTGCAGAATATAATGTCATACCGATATTTTTAATATTATTAAAAAAAATTGTCCATCAATGGTGGCAATCAGTAGGCTAATTTCTAATGAAGAGACCAATTTACATGACAGATTTTAATGTAGGCTTTTATACATACGTAAACATGAATTAATTACCATTATAACTAGCTATCTCACTCATTTTTGCTCACTCAGTGTTTTTTTTATTTTACAGTGGGGTAATTTTGGTGCAGTAGCACGAGATAGCTTGATTTCAAACTTTGAATTGAATAAAAAATTACAAGCAGTCAGTAATAAAATAAGAACAAATAAATAAATTAATAATGATAGCACAAATAAAAAATAACGACAGGCCTTCGAATTAAATAAATTGCTTTTTAGTTTTTCAGGTAGGGTTAAGATATTGAACTTTTTTTTTTGTTACAAATTATCCAAATATTGTTTAGTCCTAGAAAGCTATTATTATCAGGACACGTGAGCATAACATGCGGTTAGCAGATCAATGAATGAGAGGGCAGCGTTACCAGAGTTGCCCATATACCACACCATGTTACAACACAGTAGGGCTATTGCAGACAGAAACAATACTGTACTACATCCATGTTTCCTGTCGGCTCAATTTTTGAGTGGACTTTGCTGTTCCGCTTTTTTGAACATTTGAACAATTTAAAAATATTAAAAAAGGATTTTTTACGCGGCACCCCGGTTGGGAAACACTGATCTAAGGAACCCCAAATTAAACAGTGCCAAGTTTCAATGCATAAACAAAGGGCACTGATTGGAAATGGAAAGATCTAAACCAAGACAAAAAGTTTCACACCAGATTTGTACTGTATTTGTATTGAAAAAATTGCACTGATACAGCACAGTGACGGCTATATATACCAAAATGCACTTTTCACAGCTGAAATGCTTGGTATCTTGGGATATCTGCATGTCTAAAAAAAAGACACCTCTACCAAGGAGAAGCAACTGGAAAAATAGGCCAGTAGGTGGGTGATCATGTATCATTCATGCATTTTTTATTAACTCAGAGCCACGGAAACAACACAATGAGTATTCAAAGCCAGATCAATGGAGAAACACCAACTGGCTTACTGCTGCAGCATCACATGTCAAAACACAACTTCTACACAACTCCATCACACCGGCTACAGGTAAAGAAAGAAGGATTCAGTTACTGTACTGTTGCTGTTGTGCGTTTAAGACACAGAGTGGGCTCTTGGTCTTATGACACGTTATGATGTCTCAAATTTCCAATGGACGAATTTTTTAACTTTGTGTTTCATAACGGTTTTATGATGGGGGAAATAAAGAGAAGTTTTTGCAGAAAGAAAATCTAAATTTATTAGCTAGAAAGGCAAATAAAATATTTGAACTGACAATATTTTGTATGACTTAAATACATTTACATGTCAAATTCACATTACTGTAATGCAAAATAAGTACATAAATAATAAATAAAAAAAATTAAATATCCCCATTACTAAAATGCATTGTATGACATTTTACCTTTAATGTTTTTTGGTTTGTTTTTTTACTAAAATCAGCATTGATTACAAGTACAAAAAATACTAATCTATGACTAGTATATATACTTTTTAAATGATGTACTTTGTTTATATATACACACACACACATACATTATATATATACTGTATATATATACTGTGTATATATATATATATATATATATATATATATAGTATAATGCATTAGATGTTAACGAGTTTTTAACTTTGTGTTTCATAACTGTTTTATGAGGGTAAATAAACAGAAAACAAAGTTGTTGTTTTTCTTAGTTTTTGCACTGACATTATTTTCATGACAATTAAACACATTTTCAAGTCAAATTCACATTACTGTTATGTAAAAAATCTAATAAATCCCATTACTAAAATGCACTGAATGACTCCCAACAGTGATTGTCATTTGTAATACTCTAATGCATTTTTTTTAATCAGCATAAATTGAAAGCAGAAAAAAATACTAGTCTACAACTAGTATACATACTTTTAAAATTACACATATATATATATATAATTATATTAAATTGTGCATTATTAAATTGTGCATTATACTTTTTGGCATATGGTAATGCATTAGATGTGTTTCATTATGAAAATATCACAATGAAAAATAGCAAGTCCTAAAAAAGACTTCTTGGGCTTTTAAGATATATATATACATTTTTAATAAATTCACATTTTTATATTTAACATTTTCAAATTTATTGATTCATTTTTTGATTTGTGGATGAAACATGACCAAGACAAGTTCTTGACAGATTTCAGGAGTTTTGTTTCTAATAAAAGCACAATAAATTAAACGAAGCGTTTCACAAATTTCAATTCGATTTTAAATTGTCAACACAGTTTAGCCTTGCAAAACAAGTGCTGCCGAGTTCTATTCAACAGTATAATACTTTAGACAAATCACAAAGAAAAATCCACTCAACAAGCCCAAAAGAAAATAATGGATGTCTTCAACACAATCGAAAACTATTTGTGAGAGGCTCTACTCAAAGAAAATCAGATTAAACACAAAGCTCTTACTGTTATATTGTACGCCCTTGGCGAAACGCCTCTGTAGACTCTGGTTCATGGACTGCAGGCCTGCAGGAATATTTCTATCCCTGAGCTGCCCTGCTTCAGAACCCACCAGCTTCTTCAGAGCGGTGAACATCTTGATGAAAGCCTCTTCAACAGTCCAACAATACTAAAGCCTGGTCTTCCAGGGAAACACTCACTGCAGTGTCAAAGATCGAAGACTTCTGAGTTTCTTAACCCAACATATTGCTGGCAGGTGTGACGTGGTCTAAAGGTCAAGAGTGGAGTCCTTCTTCAATATATATTGATGCAGATGTTTACTTTCTATTTAAACGGATTACAATCCTAAAATGTGCCATTTTAGCTACTGTAACCGTTGCGATGATATCTGCCCATCCCGGTCTACTGGCATCACCTGTGAGAAAAACAATGTGAGCACATCAGATTCATGAATCAACAGTAGAAACAGCCATCAGTTTTACAAAAATGAGATAAATTCGGTCATCATTTACTCACTCTCGTGTCATTTCTAGACCCCGACCGATATTGGTTTTTTGGGGCTGATACCGATATTTGGGAGTAAAAAAAAAAGCCCGATATCGATATATCGGCCGATATTCTTTGTGTATATTATAGTACAGTACCAGTCGTGTGTCCAAACATTTGACTGGTACTATATATAGAATACAGTATATACATAAACAGAATATATATACTAGGGCTGCACGATAAATCGCATGCGATATTTAAGGCGCATCTTGTCAGAAAGCCGGTTCTGTAATCAGCGGTAAATCTCCATCACCTGCGTGCTTTCACATTGAGCAGCATTAACTACACAGAGCCGTTGTTCACTGACGAGCTGCGCTAAAAATCGCACAAATATGAATGTGGTTTTGCGCAACTCGTCGGTGAACAACGGCTCTGTGTAGCTGTGTATCTGTTGTGGGCGTTCTTGGCCGTTTTTATGAGGCTTTTTTAATAGTATTCATATCGATATCGGAATTATATCGTATCGACAGAAATTAAGAAATATATCGTGATATAAATTTTGGCCATATCGTCCACCCCTACTTTAATGCCCTTTGAATGTAACGTGTACGTTCCCTTGGAACTGGAATCATGGCGGAATATCAAAATTATATTATACAAAAATAAATATGTGTGTGTGTGTGATTATGCATACATCCAACATATAATATAATAATATCTATAATATTAAGAAAACCAATTATTAATTTTATTGAATATTATACAGCAATAAGAATATGCATGTATATGTATATAAATAACATATTCTAAACATATATATGTGCATATATTCAACATATAATAATATTCTATTCTAATAATGTTCAAACATATGCATGTGTTTTATAGGCCTATATATATGTGTGTGTGTGTGTGTGTGTGTGTGTGTGTGTGTGTGTATACATATACAGTGTACACACACACACACATTCATTCTTACATACATATAAATGCAGATCTAATATATATAGCACATGCATTTTTGACTATTTGGTTTTATTCTATAATATTATTATTCTAAATTCCTCGCTATTGTTGACACTATCCTCATCATTATTGTAGTACAGTTCAGTATCAAGTATCAAGTACAGTAGATCTGTATAATAATAGTCAATTTGAGTATTATGCATTTGTATGAATATTATGTATCGTATTTACATTATGCACCACACTAAATAATAATAACAATAATAAAAAAATGTATATATTAATAGTAAACATTTAAATGGATATTATGCATCTACATTACGCACCAAATAATCATTGTTCCTGCATTTCAGGAGGTTATCATGATAGATAGTCCTCCTGTTAGAAAAAAAAACAAGCTCAGAGATCCAAAAGCCTAGTGCATGCTCACATTATGACGTAATCCTGTGAAAGAGCACGCGCTCTTCTCAACAATGTCGACCACCAAAACACAGCAGACGCGCCGCGCGCCTCAGT